CGATAACGTGAAGAGACCGAATGTGAGGGATACTAGACAGAATTTTGCTATTTCACTCTAACTGGAGGACCAGAAACTAGCTCGCACCCATACGCCGGTGCGACCGGCGGGAAGAGTCTACTCGATCCGGCCCTCAACCCTATCTCTATATCGCTCCTTCTCGCTTCAGTGTCGTGGGCTATGCGCGTCTCCGCCTTCCTGCTGTGTCCTAGCAGAATATCTTCCAGTGGCGGTATAACCTCGTCGCGGTATTGATAACACACATCTAATGAAGTAAATGTCAGATTCTCTTCTTACTTGACACTAGCCTGATTAGTAATATTCCCTCATGTCCGTCATCAAGTATCCCGACATGAGGAGTGGACTTAATAGTTAGTTCGTCGTGGATATGGCCGGCATCGCGATTGGCATGGAACACATTATTGACAACAGGAGAAATATGTTTCCTAAAATATAATCCGTGTTTATAATATAAGTTCAGCGTGTAATATCGGCGCTAACATGTGTGTGTGGTGTGTGTGTGTGTGTGTTGTCAGTCGTGTGGTGTGTGTGTGGTGTGAGTGTGGTGTGTGTGTGTGTGTGTGTGCTGTGTGTGCATGGCACACACACACACACACACACACACACACACACAAACGACTGGTTATAACGATTGCACGCAGGCTTACCGACGGTCTCCACCTTGTACAAGTCCTGCTGCTCCACGATGCCGTCAAACTCCCCGTAGAGCGTGTTAAGCAGGTTAACGACGTCCAGTGCGCTCGCCGCCGCAGCAATGCTCGTGAAATCCACGATGTCGCCAAAATAGATCGTCGCCGATTCGAAATACTCCGGCACGACGGGCTCCCCGCGCGCGAGCCTCGCTGCCAGCCCCGCCGGAAGCATGCGTTCCAGAAGCTGCTCCATGTTGTGTGTAACTGTCTCCAGTTCGACCGTCCGCTCGGCGAGCATCGTCTCCAACTGCTTCGTGTACTTCTCTTGCGACAGCAGCATCGCGTCGACGATGCCGCGCTGGTTCGGGTTGGCGCCGGCGACGGTGGCGCGCGCTTTCTTCGCCGTCGGCCGTCGCGTCGGCTCGAGTGAGAGGCATGCGCGCAGGAGCTCGCGTACGGTGCGCGGCAACGTCGGCTCGCTGAGCGACGGTCGCAGCCCGTCGGCGATGATGCGCTGCGCAACCTGGCGGGGCGTCGCCGTCGCCAGTTGGTCGGCGAACGGCGGCTGACCTGTGAAGATTTCGTGCACGACGACGGCAGCACTGTACACGTCGTCGGCACGCGTCGCCGCCGACCGCGGCATGCGCAGACGCGCCGGCGATCGGTACAGCCGACGCGTGCTATCGTCGTCGTCGCCGATGTCGGCGTACCCGCCCATCACGTCGGGAGCGACGGCGCGTCGTCGGCAGCAGTGCAGCATACGTATTTCTCTCGCCTCGCTCCGCTCTACGGGCTGCCACTCCCAGCCAGCGATGCGAACATTCCAGCGAGCGTCGACGACGCAGCAAGCTGCCGTCACGTCGCCATGGACGACGCGCTGCCCGTGCAGGTACTGCAGCCCCGCGAAGATGTCCGTCGCCAGCGAGAAACTGATACTGCGCTCCGTCGGGAAGCTGCCGACGTACAGCCGGTCCCGCAGCGACCCCTTGCTTGCGAATTCGACGACAGCGACAAGCCGCTCGTCGGCGCCGACGGAAGTGACGCCGTGCAGCCGCGCGACGTTCTCGTGAACGACCGACTCACGCATCGATACGAGCAGCCGACGCGTCGCCCAGCGCAGACGTCCGCGGCGCAGCGACGCCGGAAGTAGATTCAAGGTCACAGGCATCTCCCCCCAGATGGCGTCCGGTCGGATACTCGTCGACGTGGAACCGACGGAGGGTGTCGACGCGTAGTTACCCGGTGGCACGTGCAGATGCTGCTGCGCTATGAACCACTCGTCACGAAAGGTCTTAGCGTTGATGAGGTATTGTTGTCGGGCTATGAGGCCGACGAGCACGGCGAGCAGCGCCACCGCTACGGGCACGCCGACGGCGACGGCGCCGAACCACGACTGCGACGCGAGCGCCTCCTGCTTTTGTTGTCTAAGTACGCGCTCATACACGCTCTCTCCTTCACACGTCATCACCTGCGTAAGCATATGAGGACGAACATGTAATATACTTGTATATGTATTCAAACACGTAATATAAACGTACATGTAATAGAAAAAACATGTAATATATGTGTATATGTAATACAACACATATAATAACGCACATATAATGTACATCGATATGTAATAACACACATGTAATAAAATGCATGTAATTTATATCTATTGGTAAGAAGGCCCATGTCATGAACACGTACATGTAATCTACATGTAATATACGTGTACATGTAATCTACATGTAATATACGTGTACATGTAATCTACATGTAATATACGTGTACATGTAATC